CAGTAGGATGTCATCTTCCTGTCCCTCATTGCCACTGCCCAGGCTGTTTCTAATTGCCTCTCTTTAGTCTGCAAGTTCATTTGGAGCTGGAAGATACCTCATGCAATAGAACTGTCATCTCAATTAATGAATTGGATGCTGCTGTCATACAAATCATCATTTCCCCCCTGCTCAGATGGGCTTTGTGAAAAGCCAGCTGCTCGGTGCTTCTGGTCCAGGCCACGCTGGATGAACAAGCGGGGAGATGTGCCCACTGGTGTGATCTCATCAGGAGATGTATTTTCCATGCATGGGTGCAGGCAGCTGGTGGAGCCCAAAGACTCTTACTAGGGCATAAGATAAAGTTTATTTGCACACCTGGCTCTCACAGCTGTACAAACAGCCCTGCCACTCTCCGCTTGGAAGCGCTTAATAAATCTGTTGTAATGGGATGAAGTTGAAAATGTTAGATGGGACCGTGACAGGTAAGAATTATTCGAGGCAAGCTAGGGCAGGTTTGGGAGCTGGATCCTCCTGTGTCCAGGATTGCTATCTTCTTATCCAAAAAACTGAAAGAAAGATGGGAAATAAGAGGCTCTTTAAGAGTTACTGCTTCTTCATGAGGTTTGTGTTTCTGTCTGATTACCTGCAGTGCCTTGTGGGGGGAACGTCACCACCCAGAATGGTACCGTTTACTCTCCTGGCTTCCCCAACCAGTACCCCAATTCCCAGGACTGCACTTGGCTTCTCACAGTGCCAGTGGGATATGGAATCCACCTCAACTTCACTCTGCTGCAGACAGAGCCCTACAACGATTTCATCACAGTTTGGTGGGTATAGCAGAGGTGTGAGGGCTGAGTGGAGTTGCTGCTGAGGCTCCATTTCGGAAAGATGCTCTTGCAGATAAATAGAGCTCCTGCTGCTGTGTTTGAGAGTAGGAGCATCCTCTGGGCGAGGATTTGGAATTTTTTTTAACCTGGATAGAGCCTTTCTGTTAAAGACCATGTGCTGCAAGGGGCTAGTGAAATGGCCAGGGGCTCTCCCCAGACACTCTTCGTGCTGCCTTCCTGAAAGATACAGGCAGGGAGTACAAGGTCAGGGAAGGGGGTCATCACTTGCTGCTCATCCCAAGAGGTGCAAGTGTCACCCTTGGGGTCTGGAGGGGAATCTGGACAGAAATCATTCACTTCCATGGTGCTTTTGCCTCAGTGTTGTGTAGCTCACAAGGAGTAGTCCCACCTTTGGCCATACACCAGCGCCTGTCAGACCTTGTAGGCCTTTTTTTGGTATTAATCTCTGTGATCATCAGTTAAAAACGAAGCACATCAGCCCCGTGCAGTGCCTCTGCCCCACTGGTTTGCCACAGTAACCCCGAGCAGGCGCTGAGCTGACCCACAGCCTGGCTGCAGCAGGAGCCCCCCATGTTCTGCTGGGACATCAGCCTGTCCCTTCACCTCCAAAATGCTCAGTGGAATGAGGGAACACCTCTTGGGAAGCTGAGGGGGCTTTGCAGAAGACACTTTATGAATGGTAAACGGGGTCTTTATCTCAAGCTGAAGTTAGATGAAATTAATCTTGTTTGTACTTGCATAACAGGAATTGCCTTTTGCTGCTTCTTTCTCTGACAGGCATTTTAATGGGGCTCATTTTTGTTCCTTTTGCACTTTTTCTGTGGCTACCTGTCTGGATAGAGGCTGAATGAAGAAAAAGTCCTTGGTAAATTGTTCACGTTTACCAGTGTTGGCTTTGGATTTTTCTTTTGCAACCACAATGCACAGCTTTGAATCCAGGCCACTTCCCAGGCTGCGGAGGCAATGCCAGGATGGCATTAGCACCAGAACCGGCCTTCTAACCAGCAGTAACTGGGAACTGTGACCTCTGCTGTAGAATGGAGGCAGCTCTGATGTGGTTAATGAAGCAGCACTGATTTCTTCACCACCGGAGCCCTACAGGCTGGGCTCATCCTTCCCTGGTTTCCTATTTGGAAAAAGGAAGAGAAATGGCACATGATCAGCCGCAGTCAGCCAGGGGAGCACCGTAGCTGTCCTGGCTAAAGAGCTTGTGCCACATGCTTGAGCTTGTAGCACTCAGTCAATACCTGCCTTTCAAAGTATTGGGGTGTCTGCTGTGCAAACAGGGAGCAACTCCTCTGGAAAACTGGCCCTGACTTCATTAAAAATGGAATTTCTGTTTGGACTTGGCTGCTGGGTGAGCACTGCACTGCCAGGGAGATGATCCTGGTTGTAATGGAGTGGGGAGAGGGCCTGGGCATCCAGCTCAGCTGCCCAGGGAGCTCCTGAGACTGTAATAAAGATGTAGTAAAGGGAGGACAAGGGAGGAAGAGTGTGGAGGAGTTCCTGGGTGTGCAGTGGAGGAGGCTGGTTGTTGCCTAGGATTAAAGACATGTAATAATGCTCTTTTCTTGTGTTTCTGACATGTGATTTTAGGGATGGTCCACAGCAAACAGCCCCACAGCTTGGTGTGTTCACTGGCAACTCTGCTAAGAAATCAGCCCAAAGCTCTTCCAATCAGGTCCTGATGAAATTCCACAGTGATGCAGCCAATGGAGGGATCTTTGCCATTTATTTCTATGGTGTGTATTGCTTCCTGAGCAGCACATGCTTTATACCTGTCCATGGGCTATCGAGGGGCTTGTGGGGAGGACTAGTTCTGCGGAAGAGAAGATTCCCCTTCTATTGTCCTGACTATGGCAAACAAAGGTGACTGAGAGGAGGGTTCTTTCTCATATGCTGGAGAGGGATTTCTTACAAGGGCCTGTAGGGACAGGCCAACGGGAATGGCTTTAACCTGCCAGAGGGGAGATTGAGATGAGCTCTGAGGCAGAAGCTCTTCCCTGTGAGGGTGCTGAGGCGCTGGCACAGGGTGCCCAGAGAAGCTGTGGCTGCCCCATCCCTGGCAGTGTTCAAGGCCAGGTTGGACACAGGGGCTTGGAGCAACGTGCTCTAGTGGGAGGTGTCCCTGCCCGTGGCAGGGGCTGGAGCTGGATGAACTGTAAGGTCCCTTCCAACACAAACCAGGCTGGGATTCTCTGATTCTATGATTTTGGTTGCCTGTTTCAAATGATAGCTGTGTCCCGGCTGCAAGGTGGCTTCATTTCTCTGGGGAGGAAGGGGACTCACGTAAATCCCTGCATTACCTGGGGGTTCTTTGGTGTGAGCACAGCTCACACTAGAGAGATGTTGGGTATTACATTGAAATGAGAGCATTTGCTTTCCACCACTAAACCAGAGCCCGACTTTAAATCAGATTAGCTGACAAGTTCCTACAGCAGTGCTGGGATTTTGGAATGTGCAAATGGAGACCTCCTCTGGCTTCAGTAATTTGCTGGCAGCCACGTCAGCGGAGCCATGCGTGACCCTGTGCAGAACGGCTCAGCTTATGCTCAGTTCTGAAAGACAACAGGCTGGAGGTAAGGAATGTTTGCCAGGCTTCGCCCGGGATGGTGGCACTGCGGAACGCTGTAAGGTTTGTTTTGCCAGACAGTGGCGAGGACGTACCAGTTACACAAAACATGGTGTAGGCAGTTTGGCTCAGAAATGAGGAGGGTGTAAACACTGCTGCAGCTTTTGTAAGATGAGTTAGGTACTGTGATTGCTGTGGTTAGGGGCCAGCAGCATATGTTGCTGTTCTCTAATCTTGATAGCATTTTGTACTGGCGTTTCTTTAGCTGATAGGTGGGGTATAAAGCCACCGCAGGCATGGAAGGTCTGGGGGTGGTGCTGGTAGGGATCAGGGTACTCTGCAGTCATTTATAACCTGTTAAGCATCTGGGCACTCTGGCAACTGCTCTGCCTTTTATTGAAGTGTCATTTACTGCCTCATTGCTCCCTGTATACATGGGGCTTTGGTATAAAGCCTAACCCCAGAGACTGAAGTGACTGAGGTGGTTGCCTCCAGGATGTCATTCTTCCCTCCTTCCCAGGCTCTTGTTTGGAGTGTGGTGCCTTGCACACCAGGAAGGGTGCAGGAAAAGGGTTCAGGCAGGTAAATCTTGGTCATCACCCTTTGGGGTGTAACTGCAGGAAATGCAGTTTCCTCAGGTTCTGCAGCAATGTACATTTTCATTTCTGTGCCTGCGTCCTGTAGGACATAGGAGCGTCCTCCTTCAGCTTTAAATTGTCTTTTCCCATACAGCGCTGCTCAGCACCATGTCAGAGCACCACTGCCCTTTCAAATGTCTGCAGAGAAACGTTCCCTTAGGGTGGAGGAGTGGAAACAGGAGCGATCCACAGAGCTCAAGGAGTCAGTAGCATCCCTTGAAAAATGAGGCTGCTGCACCTGTTTGGAGACGGGTTGGTTCAGGTGCAGGGACGTGTGAGTGTGATGGGAGCTGGCACAGCAACTCGGGGGGGCCACTGTGGTTTCAAGGACTCTGTTTTGTCCTGGTGAGAACAAATGGATGCGCTGTTGAAAGGAGCTTTGCTGCTGCTGTATCACCCGTATGCTGAAGCCATCTTAATCACAGCTCTCTGTTGAAATACGGTCCATTAAGGGAGAGATTAATGCTGTAAATGCCGGGTTATCTTTCCACTTCAGTAGATGTGCTCAAGCACTTTTCTAAATAGCATTTAATGTCAATTTTTGTTACAGTTTCCTTTCCTTCCTCCCCCACTGTCAAACATCTGTTTAAAAGACTCCAAATGAGTGTGTTCCCTCCTGGGATGGCTCTTTGCTGTGTCACAGAAGGATTCTTCCCTGCTGCCTCCCCTCTCCTGCTGGCTCTCCCGGCCCCAAGGGGCCAACCGTCCAAATTAGAGCTGGCACTTCCCTTTGCCCCCATCCCAGCTGAGTTTAGCTCACTGTAGTAAGCACGTGTTTGGCTTCTACCTGCCTTGCACGCATGGGATAAATAAGCCCATCCCTCACGTTAAGCAGAAGCTCCTGTGTTCCCTCCAGCCCATTCCCTGGATCTCCAAACAGCACGTTTTTCCAGATGCCGTTTGGGAAAACATTATCCTAACCCCAGCTTAAGGGGTAAGGTGTTTGGGGCAAGATGATGGGACATCTTCTGTCCATGTGTGTTAAAGCATCGTCATAAACCTCCTCCTGGTGCTGCCTTGCTGTGGTGTGAAGAGTTCAACATTGTGGAGTTAGTAAGAATTAAGATTCAGCAGCAGCTTGAGCTCCAGTGGCTTAAATAAAAAGGCTGATAAAAATTTCAGAGGAAGTTGTGCTTGTCCAGGGTCAGGAGCAGGGGGAGCAAAGATGCAGAGAAGTGCTGAGCAAATAGCAGAAAATGTCTTTCATTAATATTCATTTAGTTCCCAGTCCCATATTTTCAATTTAATGGTGCCCACAGCTCTTGTGTGTTTATTTCGTACACAGCGCAGTGCTCAAGCCTTATGCACCCACATGCTTGTAAGTGGTGCATTTGTTTTGCTTGGTGTGAGCCGATCTTTTGGGTTTGGTGGAAAATCTGCTATTTACAATGTACTGGTCAGGTGCAGGAGCCAGAAGGAATTGTTTCTGCTCATCAACTGGATTTCTTCTCCCCATTTTGCCACAAGGTACCCATGAAAAACCACCTAATTGAGCAAAGAGTACAAGGTCTACCCTGTTCTGCCTCCCACGAGGCACTGGCATCAGCCTTGCCCACATTACATTGTGAACTGCAGGCCACATGTAGGATTTACACTTGAACCCATGAGCGCTCCTGGAGTTATTTGCAGAAGTTAATGAATAATTCCAAGTTAAAAATAAATTGCGTGAGTTTCGTGATCTCCATTGAAGGACAGGGCATAAGGATGAACTTCTCTGAGTAATCATTGTCATCTGCTTGGTGCTGGAGCAGTCTGAGACTCACCCTCCTCTGTGATTGACCTGACTCCACTGAGATCGCCAAGATCTTCTCCCTTAGTATCCCCAAAGGCGCTGGGAACGTCGCCTCACGTCAGCACCCGTCGGTCATGATTCCATGTTCATCCAAATGCAGTAACACTGTCTGGGCACCTGCGCCTCCACAGGCTGACCAAAACCTGTTTCCTATTAGGTGTGAGAAACTGGAGGAGGCTGCTTTGGAGCACAAGTACCTGGCTCCATCTCTGTAGGGTTTGGAGGGGGAAAGGGCTGGTTGCAGTTTTGCCAATTCCTTGTACTCGTGGAGGGGGAGGATTTGCTCTGGTGTCCATTGTGCTTCGCACCAAGATGGCCACGGCCACCTTCACCCCCAGCTTAACATCTGCTACTCTTCTTTGCTCTTTCAGCCTACCAGCTCTTCAGATGCCAGCCTCCCACCATCGTTCCCAATGCAGAAATCATCACTGAGAATGAAGAATTTAACATAGGTAACCTCTCCCTGTCCTCTGAGCCTTCCTTCCCCCCCATCCACTGCTGGGAATGCCCACAGGAAGACACTTGTGTGTGGTTATCTGGGGTTTCAGGAGAGCTCTTCCCATGTGTAACTGTGGGGCACTGGGTTCTGCGTGACCTCGCTCAACACCCAACATTCACATCGAGTCAGATTGATCTGATTGTCCCGAGGCTTTTCCTCCCTGTTAGTACAGGAGTGGTTTGGCTTTTGTGGAAGCCTCGAGCTTGTTTGGAACATTCAGAAGTCTTTGCCACAATAACGGCTTTCGGGTGGTTCAGACAAAGCGCTGTGTGAAAGCTTAGAGGCCTTTATTCTTTTGATGAGAACCTTTCACCCACGTCCACTGTGCTTTTTGTGGGTTTTGCTGTTGCTCATGGTTCCATCCACACTTTAAGTGTTTCTGCAGCCAGTGAAGTAGCCATGATTTTTTTTAAAGCAGCTTTTCTCCCTGTCTGCTCTCTCCACATGACACAGCTTACACAGATCATCACAGTCTCAGCAGCATGACAGCAGTTCATCCCAGCTGAGGCTCCAGCATGCTTTGTCTGGACCTTTTATTTCTGCACAGTCATGCCAGAGCTCGATGACAGAGGCATGGTCGAGAGGTCTCTGCGCCCCATGGTACTGAGGGCAAGGTTCAGCCTTGATGTATTGGTCCTTCTCTTGGGTCAGTGTTTTCTGTTTCTGCCTGCAGGTGATGTGGTGAGGTACAGATGCCTTCCTGGCTTTACCTTGATTGGAAATGAAATCCTGACCTGCAGACTGGGCACCCATCTCCAGTTTGAAGGACCTCCACCTACGTGTGAAGGTAAGGCTGGGGGTGCCCAGTGTGGCACCCAAAGCTTCCCTACCTTGAAACTGCTGCAAAATGGGCTTCCTATGGGAAGGAGCAAGCTGGATGGCAGGTAGAGGAGGTTTCCTTGCACATACTGCATCTTTGGGGTTAATTCTCAGATCTCCAGGGTCCCAGTAGTGCAACACCACCCACCAGGCATCAGGACCTTGTGAGGAGGATAGTGAGACACCTCTGTAAGCTTGTACCTTCTTTAAAAGGCTGAGCAGAGGTTGGATGCACCATGTATCTGACTGCCTTCAACAAGTCATTATGAGTCACCCAAATGTCCTTACCCTACGAGGTGGGGAGGAACCGTGTGCTGAGAGTTTGCCAGTGATCCATGAGTGGGCAAAGGAAGAGCAGGCTGGAGCGAGGGAGCTCCTCCGGCCCTGCAGTCCTGCGACAGCAGCATCTCTGTTAGTGCCGCGGAAGACGCTCGGGAGGGAACTGAACAGCCCGAGCACACCCCGTTGTACACCTTGCTGCTGCTCGGGGGGATCCCAGAGGTGTTTCCATGCTGCCAGGTTGCC